CTACAATACTACAGCGAGAATAAAAGTTACGGCTTCTTTCTTTGCGTGAACGTTTGGGCGGCGTTATGCAAATCTTCCCGCATAGTGAGGTAGATATGTGGGGGCGTGTTCGAACGAGCCGTTTTAGGTAGGCGTGGCTAACTCTTAACTTTTATAAAGAATATCTCTTTGGTTTTGAGACTTTAGTCTTTGCAACTTTACAGATCTTCTTTATGCACCAAGAGCTTGTAACACTCCAAAGAGAAAGGAAAAAATGAAATCGCATCATATGACCCCTTTAACTGGAACCCCCATCTAATGCCAGACTTCATGATATTTTAATTTAAGATTTTAAAAATTCTCAAAGAAATATAAAACTCAGACATATAAAACTTATAATGAGAGATTGAAGGTATAGTTCACTCAAAAATACAATAGAAATTACTGATCCTCATGTATTTTTTTAAACCTCTTTCTTTAAAATTCTTTAAAAAATTTTAATTTAGATCAAAAAGTAAATCAAATATAGATTATTGGAGTACATTTTACAAGTTTTCACTTCAAGCTTACATGCTTAATTAACTTCACTTTTTGTGTTTATTTTTTAAATTTACTAGCAATTTCTGAGTGAAAATTATTTATTACAACAATTTTTTGTGTATTAATGAAAACAAAACAAAAGGGTCAGTACAAGTTTGTACTCTGAAGAAAAAATGGTGTAGGATTTTTCATTCAGAAATTGCTAGTCATTTTTTTTTTTTACAAATAATTACAAGGAAATTGCAAGTAACATTAAATTAGATGTGACATTTTGAAGTAGAAAAACTTAAATGGTGTTTTCTTGTAAAATTTACTCCAATAATATTTGTTTACAACTTCAAAAAATCCTTCTTTTTATTACAGTGAATATTAAAAACTCCTAAAATACTTGTAAGTAAATGATAATAAAGTTTACATTTTTGGGTTAACTATCCCTTTAAAACATTTTATCCATGTTTTGTCTATGCAAACTATGCAAATATAATTTAAAAATGAACAATCTGGAAATTTTCGGCAGGTTTAACAGGCTCCCACTCGTTAGAGAAAATGAATTTGGCTTTCATGCCTTGACTCTATTTTTGAATTTTCACAGGAAGTACAAACACAACAGAGAAAATGGTTTTGGGCAAGACCCAAAAGACATGGACTGAGGCTCAGGAGTACTGCAGACATCATTATACAGACCTGGCTACCATTAGGAGTCAAGAAGACAATGACCAGATTACCAAGTTGATATATAGTTTGGGGGTTCCGGTCTGGATCGGATTGTACAGAGACACTTGGAAGTGGTCAGATCAGACCAATGTCACTTCCTCATCCAAACTCACTACTCAGAGATTTACTAAGTGGAACGAAGACTGCTGGTGCAAATAATTATTATCGTACACTTGATGATAAAGTATGCACTACGACTCTACTGAAACGTTGGTAGGTCTGTCCTGAACTATTTTGTACATTCATTTGTTTGTTTG